GATAGATCTGCAGAGATAATAATATGCACCAAAAAACAAGGCATAGCAAGAGAAAGCGACAAAAGAGAACACAATGATGACAGCAAAAAAGAAAACCAATGACCCAGAAAAGAATCAATTAATTTTTAAAAAGTAAAAGAACAAATTTTAAAAAGAAAGAAAAACCTGTAAATAGATCAAGGTCTGATTTTTGACCTCTAGGTGTGTCCTCCAGTCAACTCTGATGGGGTGTCACGCTCTGGCCTCAAAGTCTATCCTTTGCACTCCCTCGGGAGCTCCCTGCTCTGCTCCCCATTGCTGGTTTTTATATTTACTTCTGTGGTACTCCTATCCCCAAACCAAACTCACTGTCATCGAGTCGACTTCCACTCATAGCAACCTTATAGGACAGTGACTTTCCCTGTGGGTGTCTGAGACTATAAATCTTTCTGAGAGGAGAAGCCTCATTTTTCTTCCAAGGAATGGCTAGTGGTTTCATATTACTGTCCTTGTGGCTAGCAGTCCAACACATAACCACTATGCCACCAGGGCTCCTCTAAGTACGTCTTAAAATTCACATATGTTCCCTGGGACAGTTAATGCTTGAAACGAGAGCTTCCCAAAGTGAGCAATACAACTTCCTTGGGAGTGCTGGAACTATTCAGGAGGCTGCAAAAGCAGATACCTACACTTTATCCTGGATTGTTGGCTATAATACAAAAGTTGTTAATTACCAGAGGTGGGGGGCGAGGGGGGGAGTAATTTTCTTTTCCTGAAAAGACGGGCAATATGCCAAATATGTTTGAAAACCTATGCTGTAAACCCTGACCATCTACTAAGGAACTAACAGAGGAGCTTACTGTTGCTATCAAACTAGCTAGCTAGTCCTCTAATGGGAAAGGCAAGGGTCAATGGATCATAGATAAGCTTATGCTTTGCTGGCAAAAAATTAAGTCAAGGTGTTAATGTAGCAAGACCCTGGCAGCCAGGAAATGACTAAAAGACACCAATCTTTTAGAATTGACTAGAATGCTTTCAAATGTTAGATAAATGCTTTTATACGTTTGTCTTACATTGTCCAAACACCGGTAGTTATAGCCTCCAAAGAAAAGAAAACTTTAAACTTACCGAACCAAATAATTCTCCTCGATCATTCATTCCTAAGTACAGTCCAGAGTCTACTCCTCGGATGCTGATCAGTCCCACAGCCAGGCTGATAAACTCCAGGATTCCTTGAACAAAAAAGGAAATGCAATTCCCATTACTAACAACAAGCTAAAAGGAAGTTGTTCAGGTGACATGGGCTACCAGCTCTTTTTCTCCAACTAGAGGTTAGCCCTGTGTATACTTGGTGACTTACCCCATGAAACCATATTTCGCAGTAAGAATGGAAACTCAGAGAAGACACACAGTCTCTCTGGACCTTGTTTTCCATATGTAACGGGAAGAAACACTCTGCTTCTACTTAACACTCTTAGATAATTATGAGGAAGAGACCAAGGAATGCTTTGGTTATAAAAGCTTCATAATTGTGAGATACATTGCTGTCAAGTATATTTACTCATTAATTGACTATCTCATTATCCAATATTTGCCTTTAGAACAATAATAAAAAAAGAGACTATCCAATTATTTTGGGCATTAACAATGCAAGTCTGACAGTAACAAATGCCGAAGTGTGAGGTGAGAATAACACTGGCTGTGATGGTTAAAATATGTGTCAACTTGATTGGGCCATGATTCTTAGTGGTTTGACTGTTATGTTATAATATAATATGACAGCTATAGAATGATGAAGTTTGGCAGTTATATAATGATGTAGTCATCTCCCATTTTTTAATCTGATGATGTCATCTGCCACTTTTTCATAACACTGATTTTTGCAGAATGAGTTGGCTTTTAGAATCTAAGCATGTTGATAAGTAAGGAATGAATGTACCATCATTTTAATAAATGAGAGAGCAGCTATCTAAGTAGAAAAATGAGGCTAGATTTCTGTATCATTTCCAAAGTCACCCCTTTTCCCAAGAGCCACCTGGTTATCTTGTAGGCCAAGCATGTTTTTCATTTCTCAGCTCCCATGTCTTTAAAGTCAATTATTCTATTTCCAACTGCATGTAGTTGACACTAACAAAGGCCACCGATGACACTAAGTTTGTTCACTGTGCTTATGACAGGAGGCAAAACTTGGATTAGTGAGGGCTTTCTCCTAGTACATATTTTCAGCCAGTATAGCCCCCTGGCTGACAACCCAGTCATGTCCACTTTCTCTCTTGAGAATTTTATGTTTATCTAGGATAAAGAATTGGACTTGATACTGATTTGAGATATTGTAACTTTTAGGGGAAAAGGAAGAAATTTAAGAAAAACCCCTATAGCTGAGGTTAGAGCTGAGGATTTGAAAACATTTTTATTTACGCAAGAACAGAAGAAAAATAAAAAGGAAACAAAGAATTTAACTACTAACAGGGGAAAAAGGACTCATAACGGAAAGCCTAAGGATACTTAAAATTTTGAAATTCTGTTCAAAGATAGTGCATCTACTATATGGATGTAGACATACCAATCACCTAGATTTGTCTTTGATATTATTGTATATTCCAATGTTCTTCAGTACACACATCAGCATTTGGTATAATTGATTCACAGAGGCACTCAAAGGTTTAAAATGAACTCACATTTGGTGGCTCTTCATAGCAAAACTACTAAGTTCTTAAGGGTTATATACTATGCAATTGGAATAGGACCAATTTTTTAAATATAAAACATGTAAGTGGTTAATTTTGAAGGAAGGTACAGGGATGGAAGCAAAAAGTCAATGGAAAGTCTCCAGGGGAAGTATCCCAGTGACTTAAGCTGGTATATGGATATTTACTCAGGCATGGCAGCTTTTACCCAATCAGGTGTCTTTAAGGCAATTCCAACTTATCTAACCCTATGTGTGTCAGAGCACAACTGTGCTCCATGGAGTTTTCTTATTATTATATATATTTTTAACTTTTACTGGGGGCTCTTACATCTCTTATCACAATCCATACATTCATCCAGTGTGTCAAGCACATTTGCACATATGCTGCCATCATCATTTTCAAAGCATTCTCTTCCCACTTGAGTCCCTGACATCAGCTCCCCATTTCTTTCCCCTCCCGCCCCCGTCCGCCCTCCCTCACAAACCCTTGAGAAATTATAGATTACTATTTTCATATCTTACATTATCCTTCGTCATCCCTCACCCACTTTTCTGTTGTTCGTTCCCCTTGGGGGTTTCTAGTTGATCCTTGTGATGAATTCCTCCTTTCTCCCCCCACCAACCCCTAATCCTCCTGGTATCTCTACTCTCATTGTTGGCCCTGAGGGGTTTATCTATCCTGGATCCCCTGTGTTGCGGGCTCTTATCTGCAGCAGTGTGCATGCTCTGTTCTAATCTAATTTGTAAGGTAGAATTGATGTCATGATAGTGGGGGCAAGGAAGCACCAAAGAACTAGAGGAAAGTTGGGTGTTTTGTGTGTTTCATCGATGCTATACAGCACCCTGACTGGCTCATCCCTTCCCTGTTACCCCTCTGTGAGGGGATGTCCAATTGTCTACAGATGGGCATTGGATCTCCACTCCATGCCACCCCTACCCCCCATTCACATTGGGTATGATTTTGTTCTGGGTCATCTTAGATGACTGATTCCTGATCCCATCGACACCTCATGATCACACAGGCTTGTGTGCTTCCTCCATGTGGGCTTTGTTGCTTCTCAGCTAGATGGCCGTTTGTTTATCTTCAAGCTTTTAAGACCCCAGACGCTATATCTTTTGCTAGCCGGGCACCATCAACTTTCTCCACCACATTTGCTTATGCACCTATTTTGTCTTCAGCGATCATGTCAGGAAGGTGAGCATCATGGAATGCTGGATTATTAAAACAATGTGCTCTTGTGTTGAGGGAATACTTGAGTCAAGGCCCAATGTTCATCTGTTACGTTAATACTAAACCTATAAATATATGCACATAAATATTTCCCCATTATTATAAATAAACATATTTACATATGTACATGCCTGCATTTAGACCTCTATAAATGTCCTTTGCCTCCTGGTTCTTTCCTCTATTTCCTTTTACTTTCCTCTTGTCCCACTATCATGTTTGGCCTTCATTCAGGTTTAGTAATTCCTTGCTGCTAAATTGCCCTTGTTAAGCCCCACTAGACATCCTATGCCCTTCTCTCCATTGATTTTACTTCACTTGTCCCTGGGTTGGTTCCCCTCCCCCCCTTTCTCCCACCTTCCATGGAGTTTTCTATGGCTAATTGATTGCTAGGCCTTTTTTTCTGAGATGCCACTTGTTGAATTTGAACCTCCAACTTTTTGGTTAGCAAGTAAGCATGCTAACCATTTGCACTGCTCAAGAACTCCATGGTAATTTTATGAGGACATCGTTCCACAGCCCATTTGGAACTATTTCAAGAATGTAAGGTTCTTCTACTGCCATTATATAGAATAGTCAGGGTGTGCCCTTAGCAACTAGTACTGAAATTCTCCAAGTTTTCTTCTCATTTTGGGTTTTGCTAACTCATACTCACTGCTTTTGAGTTGATTCTGACTCATAGTGACCCTATTTAGGGTTTCTGAGGTTGTTTAAATCTTTAGGGGAGCAAGGAGCCTCATCTCCTGTAGAGCAGCTGGTGGATTTGAACTTGCAGTTAGCAGTGCCACCAGGGTGACTTATAGTACACAGAAAAAGCAGCTTTTGCAAAAGAGCTTCACATATGATGGCAGGAGGGGACAGAAAAATAACTAGTGCTAAGCAGGGGCTAATGAAATCCTGATTTAATAAATCAAAATATTTAGTTGTACCCAAGGTTCTGATTTTGGTTCTATCCATCTTAACATTTTAATAAATGACTTCTATGAAGATATAAGAGGACAGCGTGTTCTATTTTAAGATGTACAACTGAGAGGGATTGCACAATCAAGATCTAAAGAGAATCTAAGAAGATGTAAAAATGGGCTGATACTAACAAAATATGCAACATAATATTTATCAACTCCATAAATGTAATTGGAGCTAATTTTTTTATTGTGCCACTCCTCTCAGCTGTATGTCTTTAGAACAAATGTAAAGTCCTAAACTTGTGTCCCTAAACCCCAAGTGGAGGGGTGGGGAAAGGGTAATCCCAAGCGCAGATGGTTGAATTAATCATACTTCTTAGTTCATAGTCCATTGTCATAATTGGCTTGTGCAAGGGTTTGTATTTATCCATTTACTTTATTTTCATTTACTGCTCCCATATGCCTCCCCACTTCAGGCAACCATGTAAATTTTCTGAAAATGTGTACTGTTATTTTGTGTTTCTGTGCATTTTTATGATATGTTTTATTTTGTTTGCCCATCTTTGAAATGGGGAGATATGACTTATCAAGGCATATACAACAAAAACCCTATATTGAGTGAGGTAAGCTCAGTATGTGTGATTAGTGGGATGCAAAAATAAAATAAAATAATTATTTTATTATTAAAAATAAAAAGGGATCGCTGCTCCCCTTACTGGTCCCCAGGGGTTTATCTGTTCTGGATTCCTGGAGCAGCGATACTAGGAGGGTAAGGGTAGGGGGGTGGTGAGAGTAAGGGGGAACCGATCACAATGATTGACATACGGCCCCCATCCCAGGGGGGCGGACAGCAGAAAGGTGGGTAAAATGAGGCAGGAGTCGGTGTAAGACATGAAAAAAAGAGAATAATTTATAAATTATCAAGGGGGTATGGGGGAGGGAGGAGGGAAAATGAACTGATGCCAGGAGCTCAAGTAGAAAGAAACTATTTTGAAAAAGATGATGGCAAAGTATGTAAAGATGTGTTTGACAAAATGGATATACAGTATGTGTGGATTGTGATAAGAGCTGTAAGAGCCCCCAATAAAATAAAATACAATAAAAAAATTTTTAAGGGAAAAAGCTAATGTGCTATAAACCAAACCCACTGCCACAGAGTCAATTCTGATTCATAACAACCCTATAAAACATGGTGGGTTTCTACAATTGTAACTGTTTACAGGAATACAAAGCCTCATCTTTCTTCCACAGAGCAGCTGGTAGTTTTGTACTGCTGGCCTTGGGGTCAGCAGCCAAATGTGTGACCACTATGCTACTAGGGCTCCTTAATGTGCCATAGACTGCATTAATAGAAGACTAGTAATTAGCATACGAAAGGGGACGATCCCACGTTACCTTGGTTAGACCCCACAGAGTAATGCGTTCACTTCTGGCAACTTCCTTTAAGAGATGGATATGGAAAAACAGAAGATTCAAAAGAGAATGTCCAGCATGGCCGAGTTAGTTAATTGTGCCAGCCTGGCCGATAATCACATGTGGGGCTGGTTGAAAGGCGGAGGGATAAATGGGTGGTGAGCCTCGCCTTTCTAGTTCTCGGGTCTCTTGTTTTGTGATGGTCGCACCAGGGTGCAGTTGCCTTAGCAGTTCCCTGCTTCAGCTTACAAGATTGACTTCCTACAAGACATCCCCAAGGAGAAGCCACATGGACCTATCCCGATGCAGCCCTGGGTGCTGGAGCAGCCGTGTGGAGACCCCTGCTAGTGCTGAGATGCTTGTTCGTTCACTGACTCAGCTTTCCTCCTGCAGTCGGCATCATTGCCTCTGTTTTGTGAGGTGGAGGACTTTGTGGACTGGTGTTGGGTTAATGGGTTAATGTTGGACTTGTGGGCTTGGGCAGCATTGGGTTGGGATGTTTTCATGATGCACATTTTCTTTGCATAAAACTCTCTCTTATACATGAGTTGCCGTGGATTTGTTTCTCCAAAGTACCTAGACTAATACAATGGCCTAACCTAAAAACCTAACAAAAACTACAAAGCAGGTTACATTCAGTTCTGGGTGCTAAACTTTGAGAGATACCAGCCTGGAGTCCTCAGTTCTTGCTTTTCCTCAGCAAATTACTTCCTAGCGTCAAGTCTTCATTCTTTCCTTCTCTAAGTATCTCATGTCTCTCACCACTGTGAGCTCATTAAGCAGCAGAGGTCAGTTTGTCATCTCCCTGTCCAAGACCTGGTGTGAGAACAAATCACGAAACCCCAGAGGTGTGGCCATTTGAGTCACCACAGTTGTTCTCCAATTCTCATTTAACCCTGATGCCAAAGGACAGATCATACAGGAAGTCAGTTGAGTTGTGTCCAGTATCAGGGGTCTCCAGCAGCTGGAATCATCCCCACCCAGCTGTCTTTGGGCATCATTTCCTTTTGCCAATTTTTGTCTTCACTGGATTTAAACTGTGGGAACACAGTGGCACATGCTGATGGAACAGATATTCCGAAACCTTCTCCTGAATCACAGCCAGCATGAAGGGGAAGAGAAAACAAGCCATTTGCACATGTTCCTAGCTACAGCTGGAGAGGGGTGTTAGCAGTAAAATCGCAAGGCAAAATATTAAGTAGACAGAATTTGTCCTCAGTACTTTCACCCCTTCAAGGCCCAGGACCTCTCTGTACTCTGCCTCACCTTCACTTGTTCATGTCATACTACACAATTTCTTCTCTTCTTACACCTCTCTCCCCATGGCTTCATTCAAAACTGGTCTGTCCTGGGGCCCATCGCTTCAGACTTTAGATCGATGACTGGCTATTGTGTCATTTAATCTGAGGCCATAATTCTTTTAAGCAACCTTAGCCAGGCTGTCAGGCCTTCAGGGCCAAGATAGTGCTTCTTGGGCATCTTGCCAAATAAGAACCAGCTCACTCAAAAACCAAAGCAGCTGCATGAGCTTGCTCTATCCCACCTGGCGAGAAAGGTCTCTACTCCAGTCTGGCTCCCAGTCTCTGTTCTGCCAGTTCACAGTGCTCTCAGGAATGTCAGTATCCCTGTGAACCTCATGTCAACTCCCAGCCAGGCAAGGATTGAAATACTCCTGGCTACTGATTGCAGATGGGGGTGGGGGAGCATATGCTGTGCCAACAGGTTATTATTTGGAGTAGGGGTTGCTCTTGGGCTCATTCTGAACATTTGGATTCCAGGGTAATCCTTGGGGGCCCTGCTCTCCAATTACAACAAATAGCTATTTACTTTACACGGCCTTTGGAGCCTATCCCCTCCCCCCCCAGCAGAAATCTATAATATTTTATATCTTAAGTCTGGCCTACTTTACCCTGCTGGAATGTTGACTGCTAAAGCACTTATGGAATGTTAAAGTTTCGATTTATTGAATACCCTGCATGATTAACTCAAATGTGGAGGAAAGAGAGTGTTAGTTAACGCAAATGCCACCTCTTTCTTTGCCAAAAGCTAAACTGAGACAGAGCAAGTGTGTGTTTGGAGGTTGGCAAGGGCGGTTACAAAGAAACAGCTTTGACCAGTGAGCTGTTCCTTTGTAGGAAATACAGGGAATGTTCAGGAAGTTAGAGAAGGAGGAAAGGGGAAGGTGACGAAGAAGTGGTTCCGGGAAACGTCTTTGTTTTTTTGTTTAAAAACAAACAAACAAAACTGAAGCAGTCAGTTAAACAGCAGTGAAAACATCCTTTTCTCCTGCCTGTTTTATTTCCTTTGGTTTCTCCTTAAATTTAACACTCTTAACAGGTTTGGGAGATGAAAAGAAATCAAGATGTGTCTTTAGGGAGGTAATTAAAGACCACTTATCCCAAGAGCCTATTACTGATTTATGTTGACCTTGTAGGTTATTTGGCTCAGTTTAGGCATGCAGCCAGACAAACACTTGTAGCCTCTGGGAACTGTGTTCATAGTTTCTCCACCTTCACTGCCCCACCCCCACACTTCTCCATTCTTCCATGACTTTATATACATATGTATAAGAAATGAGCTCCCCCAGCATCTTTGGGTCATATTTTGGCAGCCTCCAGGAGGCTCTGAAGCCAGGGTGGGAATCCTTCTGAAGAGGAACAAAAAGGGACTGCAAAGTCACAAGTAATCAAAGGGAAAGGAGCCAAGTTCACACTCCCAACACCTCATCACCCGTTGAGGACCTGCTGCAAGTTTATACAAACACCTGCACCCCTCTGTTGCTCCCCCACCCTACTGTATTCCAGTTCTGAGTGCATTTTTCCAAGATGACATAGACCTCATTAGGGTTCCTGTCTGCTCCCAGCAAGGAAGGCCAATGCTGGCCCTAAGTTGTTTGCTATGCTTGGTCTTGCCCAGCAACTGGCCCCTACACCTTTAAAAAAACATTTTTTTTTAACTGTGCACGCCAGTTGCAGTTCTAGCTAGGAATAGAGAATAGGAAGAAAGATTGGTTTGTGGGGAGAAATGAGAGCGACTGAAACAAGGAAGGAAAGGTGTCGGGTTTGAGGGGAAGCAGAGCCTAGAGGTGGAAGGTGCCTTTCTTGGGTTATAGAGTCCTTGGGAGGAAGTAGAGAGGATTAGGAGATTGGGGGGTGGGTCAAAGAGAGGGAGCTCTCACTATACCTGCACAAAGGCTTAGTAGAGAGAAAATAGGAAATTGAAAGTAAAAATGGCCAACTTATGGAGGAATGATCAAACATCTGCTTAAAAGCGGAATGCTCTCCGTTTGTACGATCCAGGTTCATATCATTGTGTAGTTCGTTCTGTGTGCGGGGCAAGCAGCTATGCCTTTGAAAAAGCCGCAAACAGGTAGGCAGAGACAATGCTGGATGGAGATTGAATGTTTCCTGTCCTGGACCCAGGAGACACCTATTTCTGGGGCAGGGTAGGACCTGGATCAACCAGGATTTGTGCAGTTCCTCCTCAGGGTAAACACTGCCCTTATACAGGGAACCCTGTAGAGTTTCCTAGATGCCGGGTACCCACCTAGCTCACACCTTTCTGTCTAGATTGATTCCTACCCTGGGCAAAGCAGCCTGAGCCATGCAGGTGTTGTGGCTGCCCAGTCACCGCAGGCCAAAAGCGATTTAGGCGCAGGTCGCTGGTCCACCACACCCATGGCCGAGGCACACTCCTGCTCTGGGCAATTGGCTCAAAGGGCCTTGCTGCCCTCGAGGATCGCTGACCGCCCCCCACCCTGCCCCGTAGTCACAGCCTATTCCACTCCCACTCCCACCTTCCCCCCACCCCCACCCCCAGCATGGAAACTATCTCCCAGCTCCACCTGCTTTCTTCAGGGAGCTGCTTCCAGTTCTCCGAAGCACCCCCAGCTCCCCGGGGGGAAGGAGGTGGGGAGAGGATGGGAAAAGGAGAGGCTAAATCTCAAGATGCCCCGGGGCGCCTCCCCCTATTCCATGGAC